TCACACTGCTGTTGGCATAGTTCAACAGTCTTGGGCATGTTCACGGACGCGGGAAAGAGGGGGTTCCTCTACCTCCTCGGGCAAAATCCACTCATCGCTTAACACCGTGACGATTTATTGATATCTTTTGGGTCTGTTGGCCATCGCCTCCAGTTGCCGGAGTTCGTCGCAAGCAGCCACCATGTGACGTGCCAGTTGGAAGCCATCCAGGAAGATGCACAACTCCTCACCACCATGCGGGCCGCACGTGGGCACTACAATTGATCGAAGAAAAGCAAAAAAAAAGCCACTGGGAACTCCAAAAGACCAGTGAACCATTGTGAAGCCTATATACCAACTTGACAAGCCTTCAACTCATTCTTCCTTCGTTTGGCCACTTTCTCCCAGTCATCCCCTCCCTGTGACGCACCGCCACCGCCTGAAGGGTCTGCAAAAGCCGCTCCACCTCTTTGGGCTCCTGGAACGAACAAGCGAAGCTCACACGGAAAAGGAGCCATGAACGGGACGTGCTATATGGGATGATACGGAACGACTCCCTGGCCCAGAAGAGGGCGGGACGACTCCCTGGCCCAGGTTTGTCGTCTTTGAGGAAGGGGGACGTCTATTTGTGCCTAAAAAGCCACTGGTCTGCGTTGGTTCTTAAGTGAGTCACAACTCCAAGAAGTGAACATCCAGAAAACGTTACCAAACTTCCTCTGACTGGGTTGACAAGCCTTTCCGGTTCTGACGAAGGTATCAATCTATGACACATGATTATTGCAATGATGGAGGTTAGTCGGTGAAGTGACAACACACAGTAGAATCGTAGAGTCGTAGAGGTTTTCTTTTTTTCCACAAAAGATGTGGGAACCGTTGTAGGGATCGGAACCCCTCCCCAACCGAACAACATCGAAACACCTGGAGTTCTTACCTCTGACTTGGCATCTCCTTCAAAGGGTCCGCCATCTCATTCCAGCGCTGCTTCAAAGCCTTGCACGCACAACAACAGACTCAGCGTCTGGTGCCTGGTGGGTGACACATCTGAAGTCCGCAAAACCTCCAAAGACCTGTGTGTTGTCTGAGCACGTGACCTTCACAGAAGTGCTGGTGGCCCCCCCCTCTATGGTTCAAGAGCAGAAGACTGGTCCAATGTAAGCCTTGCTGGGGTCAAGTGCTGATCAAATCAGTTGCCACCAAGGGGCCTAGCTACGGGTGACCACCGTGCGAAACATGCTGGATGACGGGCCACTTGCCAAACAAACAGTTCTGTGGACCACCCTGCATAAAATGCGTCATCTCAGCATTTTTGTGCATGTTTTATCATCAACCATTGCTCGCCCGCACAGAAGCCTGACAAACTCCCCACCCCATGGCATCATCGTCACCTCACCTTGGCTACTTCGCAAAGCCCTGGTGCCATGACCACAGAGCAATAGGTGCAGCGAGCTGACTCCGTGGAGAGGCAGCCTCACATGTTTTGGAGGGTCAAATTCACGTGCATTGAGCTGGGGCCTTCAATGTTGCAGATCTTGATCTTCTTCTTCTTCTTCTTCTTCTTCTTCTTCTTCTTCTTCTTCTTCTTCCTCGCCTCTCTCTCTCTCTCTCTCTCCCTTTGGTTGTGAATCTTCCGTGGCTCGGTGTTTGTCCATCTTTGATGATTGGAATCGTGCAGAGTGGAGTCCAAAGCCTTGAGCCTTTTGGTCAAGCGTGCTTTCTTCTGTTCGTCAACAGCTCAGTCCTTCGGTATTGAGTTCGACCCGAAAAAAATCGAAACCAGATAATGTTGGTGGAGTCACTCTTTTTGGCCTCAAAAGCGATACCAAACTAGTATCTGATAGGTCCGTATGGCGCATACAATATGTGTTCCTCGCTTTGTTGACCTCCACCCGCTGCCCTTGACCTCCCAGCTGCTCACACGCTCGGCGGAGCGCTCCAAAAGGTCTGGAAGCAAGGTCGCCAGCGTGAAGATCTCCTGTGTTGGTCCCATCGGACACTCACAAACCATGAGTGATTTACCATGAGACCATGAGACGGACTGAACGAAAGACCTACATTAACCGTCAATCATCCAACCCTGAAACCAACCACTCCACGCGGGTTAATCTTCCAGTCCTAGGACGTTTTTGGCACATGGCTCCCCAACCTATCTCCTCAAGCGAGGCCTGCGTGCATTGCCGGATGCTTGGTCTTGACATGTTTTGACCCATCCCGGACTCCCAAAACTGCGTAGAGAAGCGTACTCTGAGGTCCATGTGCAATCCGTCTAAATGTTCTTTGCGGCAAAGACAGGCTTTGGCCCGTTCAAGTTTTGACCGGTTCGGACCCCGAGTCACGTTGTGGCTGGCTGAGATTTACTCAATAATCATGGGTCCGATGTGTTTTCAGGTCACAGAATGCCCATCCACCCCCCCAAAACACCCACCCTCTGCCCTCCAAGCGGCTGGCCCCTGCTCCACCGTGGGGTCGACACTCCGCACGCGCCAGGCAGAGCCGGAGCGCGCCAAAGCTTCGGTGAGCTTCTCAGCGACGAAGGCAGCATCCACCGAGGCCCAAAGGTCCAAGAAACCCACCGCGGGACCCTCGGACCTGTGGAACGATACAGGTCAAACAAGGCAAACGCGTGCAGGGCGACGCACTGGTAAAACAAGGATGGCCAACTTTGATCAACTTTGGAGGTCAGAAGAATAAGATGGTGCTTCCGAAAGTCGAGCAAAGGCGGAACATGTCCCGAGGAGGCCTGAGAAGCAAGAAGCAAGCGGTTCTGCATGCCAAGGGCCCATGGTTGGAACACCGAAACCATCCGAAACCTAAATACGCTATCATGTCCATACGCGGCCCACCCCGCCTCCCCAGCGCGGTTTCTACGGCCGCTGGCGCTAGGCGAGCCAGCCGGGCCGCAAGCAAGCCACCGGTGGCAGGAGGCGTTCTCGTGGGGCTGGTAGGTGCGTGGGAGGGCGCCTCCTCCAAGGGACGGTTGGTTTCGAAGTCCAGCATCAAAGCCTGGCAGGCCGCGGCCGCGGCGCTGGTGGTTGCTGAGTATCTTCTGCTTAAGAGGAAGCTTAGGATGCTCTCCCCGCCCATCATAAGCATCATAAGTTATAAGCTCCAACAGAACACTGAAGCGGCTGCTGGGCAGGACATGTCTTTTCGTAGGCCAGGTCACCATCTTCTGTACGAGACAAACATAGAGAAAGAGATGCGCATGCAAGTCAAGATCCTGCGCAACCATGGGTGATTGAATCAAGGTGTTGCACGCATTGTCCTTCATCAAGTAGGGGTTTTGGGTGCCCTACTGGCCCCACTTTGGGTCGTTGCTATGGCGCGAACTGGCATCCTTCGACAGCGACTTCAGGACTCGCCTCTGCGGCCTGCGATCCGCCCAGTGTGAGGATGGAGGAATGGAAGCGGACCATTTGCCTCAAAGAAGCTGAACGGAGTGAGGGTGGAGAACGAGGAAGAGTTCGGTGTTTGGAGCATACGTCTAAGACGTATGTCTTTGTAGTATGCGTTTCTTGAGACCAGGATTGCCAACCTCAAAAGGAATATTGAAAGAAAAACACCCCAAGCCTGGCTGGGTTCCAGAGAATGCTGACGCTTCTCAAGGATGTCTAGGTCTAAGACAAAAAAATCCAGATACATAACTGCGTTTTGGCTGGGGTGAGAACCAGCATTCCCTTGGGCAGGACGTTCGTACAGAATTTGGATGAATTTAGCATCATTCAGCAGTGGAAACTCATTGAAACATGTGTTTTCCATTTGATTGTCGGATTTTCCCTTCCTCTCTCTCTCTCTCTCTAACTCTAACCGCCTTCAAAACATGTTTCATGTTGCGGTGCTCAGTTCCCACGAAAACAATTCTGTTTACGACCAGTTCAGTGGGGATTGGTCTAAAAACCTGCTTTCTGCGAGGGTCTTGCAGCTGCACCTGCTTGGTGTATTGAGCACCCTTGGCGACCAAAAACCTCTGCAACGACAGGTCTGGCGCCAAAGCATCGCAAGAGTCGCTTTCCATGTGCCAAAGCCGGCTATCTAATCCAGACCCTAAATCACTGGTTTTGTTTATTCCCAGCCCTACATGCGCGAAGCATCGTGAACCCAATCTAGTCTGCCCATTCATCCGCTCAATCCGAAATCCAGCTGCTGCAGGGTATGGAGCATCAAAGGCTTCGACTCCTCCGCCGCCAACACCGGCAAGCGCTGCCGTAGGAACCGTCGGGCCTCGTGTGCCAGGGAGGCAGCGAAGCCGTTGAGCAGCTCAGTGTCCTGGGTTTCGGCCGAAGTTTGAGAATCCCAGAGGCCCTAAAATGGAAAGCCACTAGCTGACGGCTGCTAGAAAGCCACGCCTTTCTCCGTGGGCCGAGTCGTAGCTGGGAGTGGACTGTATGTGGCCATAATGCCAACGACACCCGGGAAGAGACCCACATGAAACCTGAAAATTGACCTTTGGACGACTACTTACTACTTTCCTCTACAACCCAGTGGTTCTCAGGTTCTATGTTAATCAATGCCAACTACAGTACCACCACCTGCAAGGATCCCCCTATGGCAGCAGACCTGGGCATGGAGTTTTGACCAAGCCATGCCTCACGCATCGAGGCGAACTGAATCATTCACCAGGCTTTCTTCCATTTGGGGCACCACACGGCTGTACCGCACGCAGATCCATGCGCATCCATGCGCATCCATGCAAACAGGCTTTTGTGACGCAGCCTCGACATCAATTTGGCCCCTCAAAACCTTCCTCAAAACCTTCAATCACATTTAGAAGAACCAGTTTCATCTACAAACCCATTCCAGGAAGTCATGTGTCTTCACTCCCCATCCCACATCGGACTTCCGGAGATGTCTGCTATCTGACGGAGCGGAACGGGAAGGACCCATCATCTTGAAAGCACCTTGGGAGATCCATGAAGTAAGTAGAGTAGATTCAGTAGACTATTCAGTAGACATAGAGCCCAGGTCCCATCCAGCCCAGCATCCACCTCATCGCCCATCCAGCCCTCCAACTCCGCAGCGTGCTCCGCCGCGCAATCCGTGAGGTATCCTCCGACGCAGGCCCAGTGGACAGTGCTAAGTGGTGGGTCGGTTGGGCCAGTCATTTCTGGGGTCTTGTCATGACCGATGCCAGTCTCTACGTGGAGGCTGAAGAAGAACAACGAATTAGGCAAACAACGCTGCTATACAGCCCGCTAAGTATCCCCCCCTACGTCTTGAATCGCTGCCGTCCTGGACTCCAAAAGATGGCTTTGCAATCATGGTGACACCCTCAGCTTCCCTCGTTTTCTACGCCAAAGATCTGAAGGCCCACTCTGGCTTGTCCATGCGGCACAGCTCGCTGTCTGGCCGGCAGAAGTGATGTCGAAAGCGTGCCAAGAGCGGGGCCGCCAAAGCTGCACAGGGCCACAGCTCCTTCGCTGTCGAAGTCAGAACATCTACAATATCTATATATATATACATAGTATTATAGAACTTGGAAGCTACACTAAAATGGGTCAACAAGATCCACAACCAAGGAACATCGCATATTGAAATTGACATCCCCAACATGCCAAACCACCTGGAGAGAGATGTGTCCCAGGAAAATGGTACCTGTCCAGTGCTTATTTTAGGCATCGAACTGTTTCACCACGTTGGATGCAGTTCGCTGTAAGACTCCTCGTAGTGTCCCAGGCAGTATGATCCTTGTCTACCAAGCTGTGTCCACATGGGGGAGAATTAAGAAATATCCTCGCTCTTTACACGTTTCCTTTGTTTTCCTCGATGTCCCTTCCTTTCAAAACAAAAATCTATGGCCTAAAGGACAAGAGCCCTCCCAGTGTCTATCTCAGTGTGCTCGATGAGGGTGTAACTTTCCGCAGCTGATCCACCGGACCGCTCTCCTCCACCGGACCTTCATTGCCCTCGAGACGTCGAAGCTCGCGATCCACCACTTGTGCGTCGCGGAGCTGTTTGCAAAGGCTCAGCACCTGCAACGCAAAATGGATCAAAATGGGGTCCATCCCAGGTGGGATCCCACTCATCATGGAGGGAGCCTTGTTCGCTGATCCATCGAACCTTCAACAAGTCATTCGGAATGGTGTCCGATGGAGTTCACCTGCTATAGCTGGGAACGCTGGAACATCTCTAGTCGGCAGCTTTCTCTCCAGAGTCCACCTCTGATAGAAAGAACACCTTGCAGCACTCACACATGGAGAGCCAAGCACGTTCTTCAAAAGTGGAGCTCTTGCTACAGTTCCCACGCCGTGTGCTTGAATAGCATGGAACAAGATTGCCCAAATCAGTTTGTGGCAAACACCTTGTCTTTCTGCATTGCGAGCTAAGGTCGCAAGTCTCGCTAGAAGTGTCGAATCCCCCCGGGCCTCCCGCTTCTACATCATTCAGCATCCACATGTTTTCAATATGGCTGGGTTCTACCATGGGTTCCCTGCAATGGTTCCCAACTCACACAGTGTAGCAGACACAAAATGCAGGAAAACAAATTTTGCGGTAGAAGATGTGGAACATGAATATGCCATGGGCTGCTGTTCTGCCGTCGTAGGATCATACACACCACAACGTGGAGAAGTTGTGCTCAACTCATCGTGTCTCCCTTCAGCTTTGAAACATCCTAGCCCTGGCCTGTGCGTGTGGCACCTGCGCGTTTTGGGCCTCGTCTTTGGGCCAGCAAGCCTTCAAAACGTCCAAGAGCTCCTATGGGTTCAGCTGACTGCTAAAGCGCAATCGGTTTAAAACTTATGCCATATATGCTTAATGCTTGTCCCATCTGGTCCCAGTTACTTTTGTCGGCCGGGTGTCTTGGAGGTTCTCTCATCTTGAGGCAAAGCCGTATCGAAACATCAACCCACATTAACCCTGTGACCCTGTCCTGTGTAACCAAACGGCGCAAAGGATCCACCAAGAAGCGCAGGCGCTTGAGGCCTGTCGAGAGAGGCTGAGGACACTGGTTCCAGTATATAAATCAGTAAATTCATGTATATACCTTACCCAAGACGCAAAACCTAGTTCAGCTGCAGGAGTTCATGGTCGGACTTAGGGCGCTGTTCCGCCCAAGCATGTTTGTTGAAGGTGGGTGTTCGGTAGAAGGCTTCGTCCAGAGGGAGTCCCAGACACCAACATACTCATATGAACCACAAGTCTGTTCGCTGTCGTTTCCCAAACAAAGGCTTGCAGGCCCGGAATTTTGACCAGTTTCAACTAACTGACCTCATTGCTTACAGCATCTCCGTCCGCAAAAACATAGCCACACTGGACAGAATGGCCATCCCTTGGTTCTAAACTGGTTCCCTCGATTCCCTACATACGCTCCCATATAAAAACTACAGCCAAACATCGCGAACATATTCAACTTAGGGCCTTAGGGTCTCAGTGGCGCTCTTCCTAGGCAGTTCAATGCGAACATAACAAGTCAAAGCGCAAGCATGGTCACAGCACTTGTTTGCTCACCGAAAGGTCCCCCTGTGTAATGAAACTTCACACGCCACAGAATCGTCCGATCAGAGGACTCGAACTAGGCACCTACAGCCCTGCTCCGCGCTGGCAGACGAGTGCAAAGCTCCAGCAATCCTTTCCTCACATGTGCTTGCAACCACTCTAACCGGGCATGTTGGTAACGGGGCCCTGTGATAAAGCTAAAGCAAGATGGGGAGTCATGTTGACTGGCTAGCAAAATCTAGCAAACATAGTCTAACCGTTTTCACTGTTCCGTCAACTGCATCCAAAGGTGGCAAAAGGAGTGCCATGAATCTTTGGCCCACTGGTGTTTGACCCCTCTAACATCCCAAACGTTGGCCTAGCCACCACCTGGAAGGGAAGTTGTGACTTCCTCCATGTCGAAATTATATTACAATCACTTCACGTACTCGGCTATCATATCCTATCATCTTGAGCAGGCGAATCAAATCCAATCACCACCCTGGCTGATAGTTTTCTGCAAGTGCTGGCCCTGACTGATGCAAAAATTGCCCCCCCCAAAAAAAAACGTTAAACTTGAAACAAAACATGAAATGCAACGAGAGCCAGTGTTGCGACCCAGCGTCACATCCACCTCGGGGCACCGACCGAACGAGAAGACTGCCTCCCGCGCAGCGTCCGTGCGCTCGGCCATGGCCACCTCGGTTGGCATCGGTCTGACGTGGGAAGGTCAAAACAAGGACAGCGAGGTCGACATAGTTCAGGCTCTTCACTCAAAATCGCCTCTTCACTCAAATCCTGGCTGAAACTAACAGAATTTGCTGACGATATTTGACTTTATAGTCTTTCCCAGGCTCGGGAGATCATCTTCTCAACCACCTCTGGCAGTTTCCACGGTTATAGTCAGATCTAGAAACCACCTGGTGCCTGCTAAGGGTACTGGTGACATCTGGTGGCTAAACACCGATTCAAACGCTCTGGATGAAACGGGTTTCTTTGGATATCCTAAACTGTCCAAAAGGCTGTCTGTGCCCACAGGGCAGCTCAAGAGCGTTTGGAAGATAACTAGTCAGTTGTGACAACACTGCCATGTTGCGAGTCTTCCTCCAGACCAACCTCCTTTCTTTGAGGCAAAGAAATGATTGACATCAAATTTCAGCAAAAGGACAATGTCTTGAAGAGCACGACGCTTCACCAGCAACTTCTGAAAGCTGCAAATCTCCCGAGAAATCTCCGCGAGAGGTCCCGCTTTCCTGGGGTGACGGTCCAACCCAGCAGCACAAGCCGCCACGACTGTTCAAATTTGGCTGGTGCCATCTGGCTGCTACAAAATGTTACTAAAACACTTAGGGAACACAATTGCCCTAAGCAACTTCAGCCCGATTCCCGAATCAGAAATCCATCAGTCATGTGACAGGCTGGTAGCTGCTCTGTCTGGTTCTTCCTTAGAGATGGCCACCCAAATGCCAATTATCTGCGATTTCATGACTTGATTGGGGTCACCGGTGGGATGACAGCTTCCTGCAGACATAGAGTCATCTCCTGATGCTCTGCCAGAAGTCGGCCTGCTTCATTCAATCGCCCGATGAGCTGCGGCACCACAGGGCTGCAGGATTTCTTCAAACAGTCCTTGGCAGCTGCGATGCTTTGGTCAACAGGTAAGGTTCGGGTTGTATGCCCCTCACCCAGTGACACTGCATAGCTCAGGCAACACCATTCAGCAGCACCACATGACAAGCCCTGCTCTTCCCGAAGGATTGGGAAAAAAATGTGCGCACTTAAATAATATAGTCTTGGTTGCCTGAATATCCGGAATCATTGAGGAAAGTCATGGAAAAAAAGCTGAAAGGCCTCTGCCTCGGGACCGGTCTTTCTTATCGACCTTCACATCATCGTCGGAACGTGCTTCTCCTCGGCAGCCCAGGTGCTGCGCTGGCCTCCTTCCACCGCTCCTGGGCCACTTGCAGCTCTTTCCTCTGCTCCACGCTGCGTGCTCGGAGCTCTTCCTGTGCTGCTGACTGAACTCGAATCTGGGGAAAAAGCGGGCCGGCGTTTCTGGGTCAAAGCTTGGTTCGTCATTGGAACCTAACCCCAGCACCACATCACTGGATTGTCTGGATCTGTCCCAGCATGTGGGGATCTCCGCTGCCCCACAAACGTAATGGTGGATGGCTTATTCCAAATCAAATGATGCAGTTTATGCTGATTGTGACCCTCCTCTACTCAAGGTATTTAGTTGCGAATCTGTACAATACTGCGGGGTGGTTCAGATCCCGTGTAAGACCAGTGGCCGCCACGGGGCTCAGGAATGAACGGAACAGTCCTCCAGAAATGGTAGAAATGTTTGGAGGCGGCCCGTTGTAAGCGGCATCCGGTTCTAATGTTTCTATTCAAATGCATTGGAGGGATTGAATTGGCTGATTCACTTAGGGAAACACGTCGGGCACGACGTGAAGTCCAAGGATCTCCCCACTACCAGTACCACCTGTTTTTCCCGACCATCCGGATGCGGTATTGTCTAGGTCCACATGTGTGTTTCACCACATGTTTCACCACACCAAGTTCGGGATCCGGAATGCAATGGATTCCAAGTGTCCAGGCGAGCTTGTGAAGCTGGGCCGCTCAAAAGCTGCAGCAGCTGCTGATCGTAGTGGCGATCCTCAGAGCTGCGGACCGTGACCGTTGGGGCTCGGGACCGGTCGCGAATCCCCAAAGGCAGGTTCCCGGTTGAGTGCACTGGTGCCAGTTCGCGTTGCTCCAGGACCGGCAAACAACATAAAATACCAACATATACCAGTAGCGTCCTTGCTCCTAGTAGCGATGGCAGGAGCCCCTAGTAGCCTCCTTGCTCCTAGCAGCAAGGCCAGGAGCCCTTAGTAGCTTCTTGTTCCTAGTAATTAACTAACAAACATGTCTCAGATCTACTGCCCCCCCTCCTTTTTGGCGACTGGTGTGAGTGGCTATGAGTGGCTTCGCTGCCGAGGACAGCCGAGGGGCTCCGCAGCCCGGGCGTTCGAGCGCCTCCTCTTGAGCTCGAAGGCGGCTCTTGAGCAGCTCGTTCACTACCTGCTATGGGTGGGTTGGTCATGGTCGACCCATGATAGGTATATAAATAAATATCTCGGTGTGTGTATGCTTGCAGTGTTCATTTATGTTTGTGATGTCACTCATTTGTGTATTTTCTATTTTTGAAAATTGTATATGCTGCATCATGTTGCCCTCCTACCCCCCAGGAGCCCTGGATGAGGAGAATCTACCCCCAACGGTGGAATCAAACGAATTAAAACACATTTCTAGCAAGAAAAAACTGCTTGAGCTTGAGAAATATATACATGTTGGCATTTGCAGTTGACATGTTTTTTTCGCACCTTCACATGTTACTGTTACTGGCGGCTGGGTTTTAAAAACATGCGCAAGGGTCCAACGCTCCAAGAAAATCTAAGTCGCTTCATCTGGTCTTCGGCTGCCCCTCATCACACCCAACAAACCCAGGAGCCTCCGCGGCGAGCGCGAAACGCTGCTGCCACCCCAGGATCCCCAGCGCTTGCCTCGGACCACGGAGCACGGACTCAGGGGACCAGACACACTGGACATACCGTGGTCCGACGACGCCAGAAATCGACGTCAATGGATCAACTACAAACTGAACCCTGTCATGTGTCGAGAGTGAGTGTGCTTCACTAGATCTGGATGATCGGACTCTCTTGGTCTGGACCTCTCAGACCGACCCAAGCCCACATTTTCCTACAACAGTGGCATTTGACCTGAGAAGGTGCAGGTAGTGACCACCGTGATCAACTAATTACCTACTCTTCCGCAGGAGGCACTGCAATAACTATCCAGGAACCTGCTCGCCCCTACAGAAGTATAGGTAGATACCCCATGCCTCCCCTTCGCAGGCCATACACATTACAGGACCGATTGAACGCACGACCCAGATCCACCGAGAACATCCGAGCACATCAACACCACACAGACTCGACCGGCCAAGCAGCAAGTCCTCTGGGCTGGGCCGCTTCTGCAGAAAGGCTTCTAAGCGTTGGCGCACCAGCTGCTGCTGATCGACGACCCGCGCCTCGCCTAGCTGCAAGGCCGCTACAATGTCAAGAGACTTGGTGGGGGTGATCACTTGCCTCCCAAAGATTGTGCAATGATTTAAGCTGACTGATTTTTGTTATATATATATAGTTCTCAATCATAAATCCGCATACTTATCCGCATATATTCTCCCACCCGCCAAGCTTGGGGTTAGTCAGGGGGCCAGTCAGCCTCGTGTTGAGCCATTGTGAGCTCTAGCAGCGGCCCAAATGACCAATGAGTGTCAACCCAACCCTGGCTACAAGACTTTCAAACTCCAATCCTGAGGCTCTTAGTAGGTCCTAGAAATGCTGCTGTGCTGCATCACCATGGCTGTAGGTTGCCATTGTGCTTTTTCGCCATGGCCTTTGTTATCTTTGTTCAAATTATGGCCACACACACACACAAAAAAAAAAAAAAAAACTACATGGCTGCCACATCCCTGGAGCCTTCAAAAGCACCGTTTGCCTTGTAGCATTCTAATAGCTCTAGCCATCTCAAAACCAACAACGGCCTCTTGCACCGAATCCCTGTGAATCCAAGTCACCTTGCTTCTGATCCAGGTACTTCACAAAGAACATGCGGGCCGCTCGTGACGAGCGCCGGGAGGCTCGCTCGTCCGGTCCGCAAAAAGAGCACCAAGGTGCTCTTGGGAAGAAGACGTGCGTTCATTCGTTCCATTTTTGGTGGTGCTACGTGTCACCATCTTCTGGCTTTGTATGTGGCATTCTTTTGGGCAATCTGTTGATTTGCGGCGCCCTTGCTGCACTGACTGGTTTCTGAGTACACTCACTGGGCTCTCAGACCTGACAATCTCCGTATGCACTGCTTCAAGAAGGAGATTTAAATCGTATGTCCCTTAAACAGTTCAACATGACCCCATGCGGAGCATGAGAATATGAAATCCCTCCTCTTGCTCTCACTATTTCTGGAGTAGCGACTGGTGAGCTGACTGCAAGCGGGCCGCCGAGAATTGAAAAAAAGTGACGGGGACAGCGGAGTAGCGACACTAAAGGTCTGAGTGCAACCAGCTTTAAAATTTGGGACTTAAACCCAACCACAATCTCCGTTCGGTCAGGACGATAGAGGACAAAAGACCTCAAACTGCACTCTGGCAGGAGTTTCTGCGCAAGAGGCGACCCACAAACTGTGTCACCACCTATGGGGCCTTGTGCCAAAAGTCTGAAGTAGTTGCATTCCCAGATTCACATGCGCCGGTTGCAAAGATCTCATGACCATTGCTGTCCGCATCGTGTCATGCCCTGCCTGCGGCTCCAGCAACATCAGCACGGCAGCCTGGATCGGAACAATGTGTCGTTCGCTTCGAGTGGAGCTCGAGGTTTTCTTGGTCGGATCTTCGGGCAAGGGTCCTTCCAGATTCCGGTGACTGATTTCACGGGCAAATCTGTGCCCACCTTTGGTGCCATTCACCTTCGGCATTCCTGCCCAAAAAAAGCAAAGGGGCAAAACTCGAAAAGTAACACCATGTAACACCCTTCACACATCTCCTCAAACGATGTCTTCAAACAGGAACATTCAATTATATAGCTTTTTCATCTCCTAACCCCCCATTCCAACCCAACCGCCTGTTGCCGCTCCCGAGCAAGGTCGCAGGCTGTCTGGCCCTGGTGGTCCAAGGCATCCTTAGGTGCAAATGTGGAGAACGGTTTTTCATGTTTTTTCCATGTGTTTTCGCGGGTTTCAGGTCTCTAAGTCCTCCCTGAGCGCTAAAGTCCAATAAGCCTTCAACCAAAATCAATTGTAGTCACTCAAGCCGGGCTCCGGCCAGCTTGTAACATCAAGCTATGACCAAAGCCATGGCACGACACGTCTGGATGTACCCTACGCCCGACGGCTACACGGTCTCATGGTGCCCTAAGGCTCGGTCTCATGGATGTCATGGGCGCCAAATAACAGAAATTAGGATCGAGATTCAGGGACACCCTTTCTCTGATTGACAAAGTTTATGGATGGGCATGCACAAGACCAAAGACTTGGCATGGTTCTTCGCAGTGTCTAGTGTGAGCGTCCAACTGCGACCTGGAGCTGCCAGACCAACTGTGGGGACCAACTGGAGCTGCCCCCGTGCAAATCCGGGGTAATTAGACCCTCCAAACTCCAAACACCCCAAAACACCTTCTCAGCTTATCAGCAACTCCCGAGCCATTTCCCTGTGGGAAAACCATTCCCCAACACGGGTGAAAAAATATCCACTGACTGAGTAGGTCAGCGGTCAGGAGTTGATATATACTTCAATTCATGCGTCCTTGTTCCTAGTAGTATGGCCAGGCTAGTAGCGAACATTGTTCCTACTTCAATTCATGCGTCGGAAGCCACCTGCACAAACTCTGCCAGGTCACGGTCTCCGCTGAGGCCTTGACAGCGTGAGGCTGTACACGACAGGAGGCTGAGGGCAGGTCCAGTGAGGCATCACACAGTCGGCGGCCACTTTAAAGCTGCGGAACTCGACTGTGTGGGAGGATGGAACATGATAGAATACCAGCAGCTAAGATTACATGTTCTCTTCTTTGGATGGCCTAGTCACCTGGCAAATGTCTTGGGGCGAGAACTGTCGTAACGGGCGAATGCTGAAAATGACCTCTGCCTGGTCAAAGGCTGATCCAGAGTCGTCTACTTTACTATTCTACTCTCCCCACATTCACTGACAGAAAATGGTTCGGGGGTGCTAAACTGCTAAACCCAGCTCCAACCCATCACAGCACGAAACAAGACCTATGCATCGCTCGACCAGAACCTCACGCCGCACAGCGCCCAAAATGCCAAACATACCTAATAATAGGTTCTTTGCACTTTGGGCGCTGAGTCTTTGCCATTCTTTGCCTTCTCCCCGACCTTTGCTACGTCATCACCACGCCGGCATTCCCAGCCACACGCTCAACTGGCCGCAGGCGCCTGCACCAGCAGGCGAACAGCCTCAGTATGGCCCTCCACGGCGCTCCGGTGCAGCGCGGTGCGGCCCAGGTGGTCCTCCTCCTCAGGCGGTGGAGGCTGGACACCTGGGGGTGGGGCGCCTTTTCACCCAAAAAATCAACACATATCACATCATATAATCATAATTAATCATATAGCACAAGAACACGCACACACAAAGACCAACAATGCATTTGGGATCAACAAGTGAACCCCCCTGTGAAGGTCAAGCCGCAGACTTGTAGCAAGTGTAAATAGAACGGGAAATGTGTATATAATATCTATATATATATGTATATTATGTCGTTCCATCTGGCCTGAGCCACCCGAAGGACCGCTGTTTCTGGGGTGACAATGCCAAGCACATGAGAGTGGATCCCAGCAAATGGATGCAACTAGTCCATGTGATGGAAGTATCTATTCTTGGGAACTTTTGGGAGGTGCCGTGGATGGGTCACCGATCATCAGCACTCAGCGGCCCCACGCCCGTTACAAATGGGACCAGTGATCAATCTGATAAGAGCCACCAGTGGATGCATGCGCTTCTGCACTCCACCATACTTATACAAAGGTCACCAGGCCAGCATTGCATACCATTTCTTGCCTGCCTGAAACCTGGAGTCTCTTGACCTTTGTTGCACCAAACTCGCACCACACCGACAAGGGCTTTGGACGGTGGCATCTGTGACATTTCAGTTCGCCAGTTCGGGTGCCCCGTCTGCGCCCCACACCGTCCCACCGAGAGGCTGTGAGACCGAGGCCTCCTGCAGCACAACCGATGCCGCAACACGCCCACAAGCCATCACCGTGAACGAAAGAAATCAGGACCGTTAAATGTAGCAAGACATACCTATATATATAGTTGATCGTACAAATCGTACTCATAGATCTCATAAGTCTAGTTGGGCCATAGTCTATGGTTGTATTCAGGCAGCTCTCCCCATGACCGGTAGGACCAACTGTCACAATGGGCGAAAAACGGGTTCCAGGCCAAAAAAGGAACGACTGCTTTGCGGCATAAGCACCTTTTTTTCCAGACCTGCTATTCATTCGATGCCACCGGCCGATGCGGCGAGGAAAGAACCGATGCGGCGAACTCGCCCCCCCAAAAAAATCACCGCCTGAAGCACGAAGGAGAAGGAGCATGAACTCGCCTGAAAATAGGCGCAGGGCAGGAGACGAATAGTGCCAACCACATCCCTCAATGTCTGGGAGTATGACTTGGGGATCTTCCACGTTTGACCCTGGCGCAGCCGAGTCACACCGGCCCCTGCTGGCGCACTCCAGAAAGGCTGTAGCACCCGCGGCATCCTCCCATGCAGCGGAAGAATTATACTTTTGTGAGGTCCCCCCAAAGAATATATGTTTGCAGGATTCTTTCCCTGAACACACTCTGCAGCCCCTCTGCAGCATTTGATTCTATCAGCGACTATGAGATGCAGTGAACATTCCATGTCCATCCGCTCTTCATTGACCATCGACCAACGTGATTGTGGCCTCAAAGGCCCAGCAATTTATACAAGTTTGGCCGGACTGTTTCATGCCTCCACTTAGAGGGTTCCCGATCTGAAACAACTGATGATGATTTGTCGAACCTTTGTCCGACCATTCCAGAAAGTCGTGGGAAGGACCAGGCAGATAAATCTCCATGCAACAGCCAGTGCAGTTTGATGCAGTTTGTCATTGCGAGTCCGGGGTAGAAGGGGAGAACAAAGAATCCTGTGGTCCTGAGCTGGGTTGGCTTGCAGAGAAAGCACTCGAAGAGCCCTCCCTTGCTCCACAGGTGATCTGCTTGATCCCCGGCATGGCATTTATTCCTTGATTGCCTGGAGGTTGGTGTTTGTCTAGATATGGCATCAACCTGCAGCAGCCCATTCAAGCATGGGGAACCCTGTAATTAAACCACCAGCCGTGAGGTTTTCTGACTGCTCTGAGCCTTTTCGGGCCGTTTCCGCCCGGATCCCTTGTCGCACCGTCCTGTAGCGAGGGATCCGCTTGCAGCTCCAGCAGCTGCGCGAGCGATTTCACCGTGGCACTCTCCGAGAGGCAGTGGAGATGCAAGGGAGTCCGCCGCTTGGGCCCGGGGCAGTTCAAGGAGGACATCAGCCTGGAAGATCAGGGGAAAATCAGCCATGGAGACATGTATCCACATGTGCTGCTTGTCTTGGTGTATGATTGGTGGCTTGCAAGTTTGCAAGCCCTGTCCTGATAAGTAGTTCTTGCCTAGAAAAAAGCAGAACAACTGGAACTTGAGGTGGGGTTTTGTCCTTCAACTACAGTATGGCGAGAGTAGGAGACGTTCGAACCTGCACATTAATGTTTACACCCCCGGACTCTCGCACCACCCACCTCGCTGAGGTCCGACGGGTCCAGCTTCGAGTTCCCACCGGTTCCACTTCCGCGTCTCGCCGACCCAGAAGCACTTCTCCCCAAGCTGAATCCAAACACATCTCCCCTGGGCAAGCGGCTCATGCTGAAGGAGCTCCATCTGCAATGCATGCCTTCGGATCTCAAATCCGGCAAACATTGAAAGCGAACATAAAACCCTGAAACCATTGGCGCGATAGAGGCAAAACGACGAAAGCAGTCTGGATGTCTTTTGAGGATCCACGTGGGGTGTTATCACGCATGAATCTCTAATCAGCATCCTTTTTGTGGCGCATTTGACGTTTTTTTTGCATGCGTGACATGAAGTGCGCTTTATGAAAATGTACATGTTTGAACATCATCTTCATACAAA